AAGAGCGTAGTTGATGTTACTGAACTGTGCATGTAGAAATTTTTGAAATGGTGTATCTTTGGCTATGTATATTTTCACCAAAAAAAAAGGTCAAGAAGGGAGAGGGTTGACATGTTGTGGGGTTGTTAACCGGTGCTATAAAACAATATGTGTACTACTGTTTCATGAGAGACTATTTGTTCTGTAAGCCTTCACCTGAAGTACAATAAAAAAATTTAAAAAAAGAAAGAAATGAAAATGAAGAACTACTAATATAATGACCTGGATGAATCCTGTGGATGTTATGTTTACCAAAAGAAGTTAGACAAAAGAGTACATACTATAAGATTCCACTGATAGGCAGTTCAAGAACAAAACTAATCTATATAAAAAAAAAGGCAGAAAAATATTTACCTTGGGATTGGAATGGGTGTTATTCTGTGGAAAGAATCACCAGGAGACTATTTTCATATGCTTTATATCTGGTTGGTGTTTGCATGGATATGGGATGCACACATACACACATACATGTGCATGTATACAAGTACATTTATGTACATACGTGTGCGTAGATGTAAAATGTGATCAAGCTGTACCTTCAAGATTTATGCATTTTATTGTACCTTGATAAAAAATACTCGGTGAAAATCAGGAACTTAACGAATGTTAAGAAAATAAAAATAATTGTCCCCCAAAGGCCATTGATCTGAAAGTTCTGCCTCACTTGCCCCAGCGGTGAAGTCATCCCTAGAGACAAAGGAAGGGGACATTTGCATGCAGCAGAGGAAAGAGCACTGATGACCAGGATGTAATTAGTTTCTGAGAAAAAATTTGAATCAAGCTCCAGTGTCAAGTTATTCCCTCTAGCCGTCTCATACAATTGAAATGGCTATGAAAAAGCTTCTCTTTATAAAAGCTTCGCTTTATAAAATTGTTTCTTCACTTCTTTAAAAAAAAAACCCAGTTGCCTGTAAAGTCCATTCCAACTCATGGAGACCCCATGTGTCGTAGTAGAACTGTGCTCTGCAGGGTTTTTAATGACTTCTAAAAAAAAAAAATTTTAAATCGTACTTTTGATGAAGGTTTACAGAACAAATAGTTTCTCATTGAACAGTTAGTACACATACTATTTTATGACATTGGTTAACAACCCCATGACATGTCAACACTCTCCCTTCTAGACCTTGGGTTCCCCATTACCATCTTTCCTGTCCCCTCCTGGTTCTAGTCCTTGTCCCTGGGCTGCTGTGCCCCTTAAGTCTCGTTTTGTTTTATGGGCCTGTCTAATCTTTGGCGGAAGGTTGAACCTCAGGAATGACTTCATTACTGAGCTAAAAGGGTGTCCGGGGGCCATACTCCAGGGGTTTCTCCAGTCTCTGCCA